TTAATTTTGATTATTTGGAACCACAATTATCACATATTCTCATGTGGTATACAACAATCCAAATATACAAGTACGCTATATACCGCTAAAAAATGAATTAAATAAACATATCAGTGTCATTTAAGTTCAACTTACTCCATCTCTAAACGTTCTTTCTATGATTTGTTATTGTCTCTTAAAGACAAAAAAAAATTACAACATGAAAAGGTTTAAGAGACGAATCTAAAACTATACTCCGTATATCTCTTTTTTGTTTTTTCTAATTAGAAAGCCACTCAAGTTTAACAACAAATTAGATTAGGTCTCGTGTCATTTACGATAATTTTCACTATTGTATTTATTAATATTTTAACAACATATTTGCAAATAATATTTATATTACTAATAAGAATCTTTAATTTCTATTATAATATAGGTATTACGTAAATATATATAGTTTTATTGTCTTAAATAAGTTGTCAATCAAAAAGATGTAAAAAGAAAAATCACATTAAAAAGAAAAATCACATTCTAATTAGGGAAAAGGTATTTGGAGGGAAAAACGACACCAAGGACTAACATATGTCATTCTCGTTTCCAGTGTCTGTATAAGTAGTAAGTTATTGATTACTATTTATGTCTTGTTCTAATTTACTGAACTGAACTGATTGGGACTGAACAGAACTGAATAGAGCTGAAATGAATTGTTTACGAGAGAAGAAAATTGGGAACTGAACTGAAGAAAACAAACCCTTAGTAAAATATTTTTTTCCCATCTTTAGTCTTGATTTTTTTTCTATTCCATAAATAATCTAATTGATGTATTCCTTTTTATTCTATGTACTTATACTTTATTCCAAGCTTTTACAATTGATTCCTTTAACACCCCTTACCTTCCTAAATGACCTACATTTTGCCTACGTGTTTACTTTTACCATCTTTATCCCTAGCTGTACAAATAATACAATCAACAATATTAAAATAAGGGTTTCTTTTGTTCACCTTATTTTCACTTATTTCAGATGTAATAAGTTCATATGAGTTCAGTACGAATTAAGTTCAGATAAGTTCTAATTAATAAGAGTTATCCATGTACAAATTACAACTAAAATAAGTTTTGATAAGCTCTAATAAATTTAGATAAGTTATCCATGGAAGCATATAACAGGTAATATTAATAATCTTTCCTTCAAATAAAAAAAGGTAATATTAATAATCTAGATTCTTATTGGTACTCATTTCTATGTTGTAACTTCAATTTTCTTTTTTTTTTTTTTTAAAAAAAAAAAAAGAGTTGTAACTTTAATTTGGATTGAACACCTATTCCAAAAAAAAATGACCATGTACACGATACACCTACATGCAAAAAGACTAAATTAACACGCTATTTATATGGCTTTGTTGATTGATTAATAAAACTTCAACAACAAAAAAAAGTATCCAACATTGGTGGGCTCCTAGGATGCACCGTTGCTTTGTAAGATTAAGGCCAAGTACAATACCCTTACAGTCATTCATGGACTTGTGGTCCTCTTCTCTATTTCTTGAGTGACACTTTCGTTTTTATCCTACTTCTAATTTTATGAAAAGCAAAACATATATTACTAAGATAAAACCACAAATAGATTGTTCAAATCCCTCATAATATAAGGGTATTCCATGATTACAAGCTAGAAAAAAATATATAATATAAAACACTACACAACTTTTAAGAACGAAATTGTGACATTATTTTCAAATTTCCAAGAGTTATATGCATGACGTTATTATTCATCTAGGATGTAAAAAAAAGCCAAAAACATATCCACAATTTCTTATCATAGGCCATATTTTCAATGTGCATGCTTTAAATTAGATGGATCAAATTATATCCTAATCTTATCTTCATCAAAAGTTTAGGTTGATGAGGCTTTTGATTTTCAGCTAGTGTGGCTTTTGAATTGAATCCTTTTCTTTCTTTCTTTCTCAACTTTTGAATAAAACTTATTCTATTACTAGTGACATAAAAGTATGAATATGCTAACAATAACTTGTAGCAACTTTCTTCTCTTTTATCTGATCAAACTATAAAGGAAGAAAAGTACTTGTATTTAGCTTGTGAATGATATCTTAGGGGGCAAACACCATCAATTGAAGCACATTGTCAGTGATTTGGCACTTTGTACCTTGATTTCTAGTGCACCAATACTATGCCTTTTACTACGGAGTACATGATTTATTGGATTGAATGGACCACCAAATTAAAGCCCTGCAACAAATGATTAGATACCATCTAAATTTAAGTAATTGAAGCATCTAATTGAATGTTTAATTCCTTAAGCTGTAACATATTGTACTAATGCGAGTATTAAATAATCGACAAACATATAATGATGTTATAATAATGGATGCATTAAAGAGTCCCTGTGTTAATTATGTACACTATATGTTTAGAAATAACAGTCGAACTTGGTGCAAGTAATTTGCTAGAAAAAAAAACTAACTCCATTTATCATACATACATGTTGAGTATATTTCCAACCTACTTAGAGGAAGTGTCCCATGTCCGTGTATTATTGTGTTGAGTTTATATGCCATGGCACGACACGAGCCAACAATCCGCACATCCCTTTGCAACGGTTTTGAACAGGTTATGACGATTCAGGTATATGTACCTAATTCCAGCAGAGAATCCTGAAGGGAAGGAAGACCAGTAACCATTATGCAATGTTCGAAAGATGAGGCTGATATACGTACATTTCAGAACATATTTAAGCTTTGCATTCAATTCTACTCTACTCAGCGGAAGGCTTGACCAAACTCTTAACAACCCATTCGCTATAATGAATGGAGATTTAACTGATATGATAATACATTAATCATATGTTCTATAGAAGTCTGTCACATAGTAGCCATCTATTTGGAGATAGAGTTGTATTACCAATAACACATTAACGCAAGTCTTGCCGTATTAGAAACCTACATATCAAATTATCTTTGTGTATAATTGGATATCGTGGTTGTAGAATTCATAAATTTATTTATAGTTTCAATTGTGAATAAACAAGGGGTGAACATTTAAGGCTTTTGCTAGATGTTTGAGACTTTAGACTGCACGCGCTAACTTGAGACTAACTTCCCCAAAAGCCAGTAATTTTCGTTTGTTATCTTAGTTTTGTTGTCATAAAGCTTAAGCGCTCTCATTCCCAGTTGCAACAATTAAATTCTCCTTGTGAACTGACAATGTGCGGAGAATGCAAGGGTATAACATTAGAGATTGAACATTTTTGCTTTCCGGTTGCTGTATAAAGCTAAAGACCCATTCATATCTGTCAATTCTTTGTTCGTTTAGGAGACGAGTAGAAGAAACGCCCAAGCCAGTAGAAGCCAAAAGGCACAGTAAATGTGGTCGGAATCCAGAACTAATTGTAAACGGTATAGTAGCTGATCTACCTGAACCTTTCATCAAAATAGGCAAACCCACTACACCAGAAGAAAATGTACCAAATGTACAATGCTAAAGAGAAGTGTGTCGCCATCTACCGATGTCCTTGAGAGCTCCAGTGCATTCAATATTTAAGCTAATAACATACTAACTGTACCGTTACGAACGGCGTTATTCGTATGGAATGCCTGATATGGTCCACATACCAGCTGGTGCCATTGCAGCGAAAATATACCTTATGTTCCATCATTAAGCCATTGGTCCAAAACTTTTTGATACTTGAAATCTGAAGAATAACTCTGAAATTAAATCCAAGTCTTAATAGCCTTCAAACTTTTGCATCTAAACTGGTTGACATTTTTGAAAGAATTTATGAATTTCTTCATTGCAACTTTAATGCTTTTGGCTTCACTCATTAGAGAAGTTCCTCTTCAATCCTCGCAATTTGTGACCTGTCATAAAAGTCCACTGAATGTTGAGGAAATTACCTGTTACATAGAAAGAGCTTTATTCAAGATCCAAAATGCCACAAAAACTTACTGGAAAACTACCTAAAAAAAAAAATGGATATTATAAACAGACTTCCAAACCTAAATGTACTCAAGTCCTTTATGACGAGTCACATTCCAATGCTCTCTCTCAACTCCTTGATACAATGATACCACTGTTTGATCAAACCCACATCAGAAGAATATAAGCACCAGCGGTTTAAATTTTCAGATTCAGGATGTTTCTCTGCTCAACATCAGCAGTCTTAAAGTGACCTTGGTGCCTGTACTAATATACTACGGTTTCCTATACACATTCTGCCTGTAGACAATATCCACATTACCCTGGAAACAATTTCAGAGAAGGGTTGTCTCTATAGGAAGTACAAACCAAAGAAAATCAAAGGCCTGCCTTTAAAAAAACAAATAATTCCAATCTTCGTGTTTATATAACAGGCAAGTTGAGCTGATGAAGAGCCCAATGGTACAGAAGAAGCAACCGCAGATCTACATGACATATATCAAAGGTGATACATGAGGCAAAGTAAAATAACTCCCTTTCTATTATTGACATCCATTTTTCTGAAAACTGAAGAAACAGAGAAATCACTCAGGAATCACAGATTTACAGCAAATCAATCTGTCAACGAACAAACAAACGCACTGACGCCATTCTAAGACAAAATAAAATGAACAACCAACAAACAACCGCAGAATCCAAACAGATTTCTCAACAGAAGAGCACTTGTGCAATTTTGTATACACCTTCATCAACCTTTGTATATGCAGGAATTTAGGACAATCTTACAGAGGGTGAAACCAAAGTTTTCAATAGAAACATAATACCTAATCAGCCCACTATGACTGTTCACAAGAATTACCAAAGTACATAGCCTGTTACTAACTTAGAGCTTAGAGCTGTATTACAACTTAGAGCTGGCAAAGTTTCTGAAACCTGTTACTAACTTCAACTAAAAAGTGCTATTCAGCTCTTTGAGCAGGTAAGCAGCTTATAAATGATAGGTTGGTTGAGAATCCAGTATTGCTAACCTTTTTTACTTCACACTTGTTCAATGCTCAATACTAACAATGCAGCTGACAGTATCAGAAGCAATCAGAATTTAGCTTTTTGCCATCAAGGTGTTGCAAGGTTCCAGATATTAGACTAACCACAGGGTATTAAGTGATTAAAGTAATACAACAAAGAACAGAGCTCTCACCTTTATCTCAGGCAAGAAAGTGTATATGAACAGGTTCACAGCAATGTACAAGCTTCCTAGTCTCACTAGTGTAATTCACACATAGCAACTGGCATAAATTCCTTCAAGCATTACCTTGCCAAGAATTATGATAAAAGTGATAGCTTTGCAAACTTCAGCAGACAGGCAACATGCAAGACCCCAATCTCTTTGTGGAACTTTTGATAGCCAGCAATACACATCATAAGCTCAAAGTACAATACACATCATAAGCTCAAAGTGCGAATAAATGCTCTGCCCAAAACACCAACTGCGAATTTCTCAATATTGCATATTTGTGCCGGATAAGCAACATGCCTTAAGCCATGAAAGAAAATACGTCCTGTAATAGCTAAATTCCAACTGATAACAGCAGGCCATAAAGCCCTATAAAAGGTTGTCTCCGCCATATTTCAACTCATCAACGCCTACACTCAACATCACCTGGCAATGAATATAATAACAAAAAGCACTACACAACATGTCAGAATAACTGATCAATGTATAATATCTCTGAAGACAACACGTGTGACGGACTTCTTGCTAAGTTTGTTCTTGCCAAGCCCCTCCAGTCATCTTTGACAGCAGTAAATTCAAAGGGAAGAAAAAAACAATCAGAAATCAGGAAAATGTAAATCAAGATGAGCCCCCAAAAATCTCATTGATTCAACCCTACAGCAATAACGTCAAGAGTTACATGTGCAGAAAATGCCAAGATAAAGATGACATTCAATGAGAAAATGGTATCTGGATTCAATCCTAGACCCACCTAACTTTTTGTCGAGGGCCAATGTAGACTAATAAAAAGCGCCCCAACAAAAATTTGCAGGCATACTCTATCCAGCGGGATAACATCAAGAAGATAAAAAAGAGATTAAATAATTTCCAGTGATCTTTAGAAACCGAACGAAGAACAAAACCACAGGTCAAAGCAACGAAGGAACAACTCTCTTTGTAGCATCATCACCAAAATAATTCTGCACACCAACTGAAAGTGGGTTGTCATCGAGTTTATCCTCTTGTCCTCACACAACTGGCTCCTCAACTTCCAATTCGTCCATCACAATCCCTTGTAACCCTGCTACCAAACTCTGGAGTATCCTGGAAAGTTTCATAAGATTCAATCTCTTTTCTGGATCCTCATTATCAGTGCGCCTCATGATATAAGGCTGACCATAGTGTTTTCGTCTGTCTTGATAATTCCCATATCAACATCCTCTATTGGACCCATTGGTGTCGGAAAACCTTCCAGCATAATTGGGTCGATATTGTTCCTCAGACTTAGAATTATGTGATGAATCCATGACATCAACCCCAAATTGCTTTGAATTAGGATTAAATCTTCCATCTCTTTCATATATGACAGAATGATTTTCCCCTCTAAACCTCCTTGGACCATCGCCAATGCGGCTGTCTATACCCCTTAACCCTCTGACCTGAAAACTTGAAACATCTCTATCCCGAAAACCATTAGTCATGGAAAAACTATCATTAATATCCTGATGCATTTTATTTGCCATGCCATCATCAAAGTTACACCTTGCAGGACGGAGAAGATTATATTGTTTCCTTCTTTCTCCAAAATTCTCCTCATATCTAACTCCTCTACTAGCATCATCCGGAAATCTATCTGAAATTCTATAATACCCATCAGGCTTAAGATTTCGTGGGGAATCTATTGCGTTACCTCTGTCATCCCTCAAGCGAATTCTCCCTGGTGATCTATCTGGGGCAGAGTTCCGCTGCTTGTAACCTAGCTCCCTAAAATGACCTGGTTCATCCTTCCGAGCAGAATTCCATCGGTTACAAAGAGGAGATCCGTGGCTTCTTGAAATTGACCTAAAGCCACCAGCATGGTCAGGCCCAGAACCAGGTTGTTGCTGTGGTGACCTTAGTCTTTGCATTCTGGCCTCAGGCCTAAAATTTGGAGATCTACTTCGGTGCTTAAAAAAGGTATTACCACCATTTCCAGCCTCCACTCTTCTCCTTGGAGAATTCCAAATTACAGGAGACCGACTTCTTGATCGAGATGGAGACTTCCTGCGAGAGTGATGTATATTTGACTGCCCTCTACCACCAAATGGAGAAATACTTCTCTCTCTGCGGGACAAAGTACGACAGTATTTTAAGGAGGACTGGAATGATTCATCTAGAGAAGGTCCACCAAACCTTCCCCTGCCTCCTCTGCTTTCAGAAAAAGGGCCATGCCTGAAGGATCTTCCCCGACCAAAAGCTGCTCTATCAGGGCTAAACTTCCTATCGGTATTATAACGAGAGTGAAATCCAGCACAAGGCTCTCCATCAGCACTAGCTCGATTTTTTGGAAGTTGTTGAGAATATGATGCATCATCTTGAGTGCCAACACATCCATGGTCATCTCTCTCCACACTAGCATCAACATCGAATTTTGAATGTCCGTGGATAACAGGTGAGTAATGCCTGAAACTTCTACGATTGTCTGATGAACCATCCCACCTACCACCTTGGCGTCCTCTACCTTGACTGTGAAATGAATACCGCGGCCTCTCAAACGATCTCATGGAGCCAAGCTCAAATCTATCAAAAAGACTTCAACATATTAGATCCAAGAAAGCTAGAAGAAATCACCTAACACGAGGAAATATAAGGAGTACAGCAAAGGGAAACAAAAGGAGGATGGGGGAGAAGGGAAGAGCAAGCAGTCATTGTAAAGCGTGCATATAACCAACACAGCACTGATACCTATTCTCCATTTTCTTGAAACGCTCCTCCCTATATGCATGATCACGAGAAACTGGACCTTCAATCTGTGACTGCAAGCCCCTTCTGAATGCTTTTTGTTCCACTCTAGTTTCATCACCTTGGCGATCCAGTCCATCAATATGACTTGGCATCCTATTCTTTCTCCTGATATCATCTATGCCTTGATTTCCTATATCTGAAAAGCTCTTGCTACTCTCAAGCAGCTCTTTTTGCTGAATTATTTCTGTTTTCTCTCCAGCATGACTCGATTTTATTTGGTTACCCTCATCACGTTCCCTATCATTCCCAACTGCTTTAGAAGCTACTTCAAAAACCTCTTTATCATTTTTACAATCATGAAAAGTGACGGCAGCAGCAGTTCCCAGTCTCTCGCTCTTTCTATCTTCATCTTGTCCAGACTCGGAGACATGGTCCTCACTTGAATTGGCCATATGCGTTTCTCTGTAGTTCGAAATAAAGTCTATATTTTCAGCTGCTCTATCACCAGCATCATATTCTTCCCAAGCATGTTCACTTGACTCCCTGAGCTCCCCATCTTCATATTGGGAATCATAACCCTCCTGGAGCTCACCAATAGCATCAGTGCCAACCACCAAAACTGGATAACATTGAACACCAACATCATTACTATGTTTAAGAGAACCTTCATAATCAGTATTGTCAGAATAATTAGAACAATTATCCAAGTTAATTTTGCAAGTCTCATGGTTGGAGAAATCACATGAATCCATGAGTATTACCGAGCAATTCTCAGAGGGATTCTTTATGGTTTCATTATTACTAACTATGTTTCCATCCTGAAGATGATTAAAATCCTTCAACTTAGTATCTAAAGCTAACGGAAGCTCACATCTTTTAGGCACAGAGTTGGATGCCTCAGTGTGTAAAGGGGCATTTTCATCTGATACAGCAACTTCAGCATGCTCTAGATGCTTTACTTCTTTCAGGTCAGCATTCTCTATTAAAGATTTTTCTTCATGATGAAAATTCTTATGTGTCTCCAAATCCTCTAGAACAGTGATATTTTGGTTAACCTTTGAGCTGGATGACACACACAAACTAATATAACTATCAGCAGACACAGCACCAAATGCAGCATCAGAAGCACAAGCATTTCCAAAATTCTGCAACTGACAGGATGCCACAACACCATCTGTTTTTAACCCCTCAATTACTGGCCGATAGCTTACACTATTATCATTCAAATCTAGAATCTTCACAGAAGCATCATCAACCTCATTTACAGTATAAGATGCTGACAATTGAGCAGTCTGATCAGGGGGAGCAGCAACTACTCCAACAGTAAGATCAACATTTTCATCACAGTGCATGCTTTTAGAGTCTTCAGCCATACAATTCACAACATTCAAGTTAAGGTTGGAGTTGGTTGATAGAGGCTTCTCGCCTAAGGATTGAGGCTGCTTCAGACTGAGGCAAGAATCTGTATCATAAGTGTCCTTGATATGAACTGAACTTTGATTTGCCGGTGATTTCTGTTCACCAGGGAGTAGGCAGCTTTTTGCAGCATGTAAAGTTACCAAATTTTCTCTTGAATCATGGGCTTTCAATTCCATATTTTCATTATGGTCGACTTTTCCAGCATCTTGAGAAATGTCATGAGCAACAACATTTTGAACTCCTGGATCATCAAAAGGCTGCTCCCAAGCATCCATCACTACATTCAAATCCCAATGCAACTTAACATCTCGGGAAGATTGTCTATGGTCCCACCCTTCATATTCATTTTTGCTGCATGAAACATCCGAAGAAAAGCCCAAGGAAACATCCTTCATTTTTCCAACAGCAACAACATTTTGAGATGAATTTACAGTAGTTGAGATAGATGCAAGCTCTACAACTGGCTCTGTGGATATACATAAGGATGTTGCTCCACTTGATATTTCAGACGAATTCATAACATCTTCCTTTAATAAACCCTTAGATAATGAAGGTGCTTCAGCATAAGTAGAAACTTCCGGCACTCGCTCCTGCACGGAAGACTCTTCAATGCCTGAACCATCCTCCGCATAACCACAATCTCTTCCCAAACTGCTACTGCAGGCAGCAGCTGCAAGTATTGATATACCATAGAAATCTTCATCTTCACCAAAGCTTTTGTTGGAATTGTCAGTTTTCTGAGGATCAATGCAATTTTTATTCTCAACAACCTGGCTCGAACTAATGTCAGAAGTTGGAGATTGCGGTTTGATTGAAACATCTTGACTTTTTGTTTGATCTGCAATTTCCTCCGAACATGGAGAATTGTAAACTGGCGGTGGTGACGGGGATCTTAAAAAGAATCTTCTCTTTTTAATAGGTACGTGCTCTTCCTTATTACTAAAGCGACAGCCTGATGCTAGTACTCCATGCTGCCAAAAGATTATTACAGGAGACTTAGGGAGCTATTTCTAAATATATTCGAAGGCTGATAAAACAACTGCTATGAACTCTTTGGGGGAAAAAAAATCACGACATACCTTTTTAGTCTCGGATACAGGCATTTTGAAACACTGAACTTGTGAAGGAATATAAAGTATAATCCTTGATGCTTTTAAATACTATCTTTCTGGCAAGTCTTGATGCACTCCGACTACCTTATAAAACCTTCAGACAGAATTAATTTTGAGAGAGACTGCTTTAAAATATCAAAATTGATGCTAGGTACATGACAAAAATGTTTTAGGTTACAATAAGAAATACAAGCAAGAGAAAACACAAAACATGTACACCCAAATGCAGACTAATCAATTTTATTCGATAGAAAGTTACTACACCAATCAGATTAATCATTCATCATCACAAGAAAACAAGCACCGAGCACAAAGATATATGGGCATCATCACCAGTATATCTTAAGGTTAAGGGAACATGGCCACACTTAGCACTCACAGTAGACATAATTGATGCCATAAAACACACTGGTTCCAAGAAGAAGGAAATCGCTAATAACTACATAAACATAAACACATAGGATAATTTGGTTCATGTAGTCGACCCCACTTATGGGATTAAGGCTTTGATTGATTAATTGATTGATTAAACTACATCTTTCAAGCAGAGCATAGAAGTATAGAAACAATCATGGTTCTTTGAAATAACAAAGATCCACCAGAAACACACATAACCGTAATCACAAATACATATAATGATACAATTCCGTCCAGATTTTACGAGGCCTAGTAATTCAAGCCTATAAACAGATCAAAGAAAGGAAACTATTATGATTTTATCAGACCAAAACAATAAAAATAAATCATCAATTATCATCCCCAGAAAACCTATTGTAGAGAAAAAAAAAAAAAAAAAAAAAAAAACCAAATCATTCAAACTTTTCATTCGAATCCAAGATACAAGCATAATTAAGGCAGGACCTCGACAATTAATTTCAATTATGATTGGTAATACATCAATCAAACACAACAATCAAAAACCCTAACAACAAACCGAAAACAGCAGCAATATAATTTAAATCAAACAAAACTTACTTTCAATACCTTGAGATTCAATCGAAAATATCACTCGATCTTCACCTTAACCACTCGATTCAATAGATCTTCCCAAAAAGAAAAACAACGATTAATTCAAAAGTTCCAGAAATTCTTCTGCATCATCATCAACATCGATTAACCAGAAACTTGAGTCCTCTCAATTATCAATAAACAACAGAAAATCTTCTATTCTCCAATAAAGATGGCGGCAATAAATAGGGTTTTTCTGAGATTCTGCTGCTTTATCGGTGCAAAATTCATCATTCCACTGAAAATCGACCCTTTTTTCTCTCTCAAAAATCAACAACGAAAAATAGCAGAAAAATCGAAGAAAAATACAGAAATAATTCTTAGTTCATCTTCAACCTTGAGCTTCTTTGTCGTTTTTTTCTTCAGTTTCTCTCTCTTCAAAGCCTCGAGAAGAGTCTTTTTTTTTCTTTTCTTTTCTTTTCTTTTTTTTTTTTTTTTTTTTTTCTGTTGGCTGCTTTGGTGGTGGAAGTGGAGGCTACTGCAGCTTCACCACGTATTTATTCTTCTGAATTTCTTTTTTCTTTTTTATTTTTTTGTTTTTAAGAAAATTTTTCGGTCAGGGATTACTTAGTTAAGGATTATTTAAGGAGTTTAGTCAGGAATTACTTAAGGAGTTCGGTCATGGGTTACTTGACGGTACAATCAGGGGTTACTTGGGAGGCTACTTAGTCAGGGTTTACTTAAGAGGTTACTCGGCCAAGGGTTACTTGAAGGGTCACTCGGTCAAGTTTAACTCAAGTAACCCTTACCGAGTAACTTGAGTAACTCCGACAACTCGAGTATTCCCTGACCGAGTAACTCGAGTAACCCCTAACCAAGAAACTCGAGTAATTCCTGATCGAATAACTTGAATAAACCCTGTCGCACGGTATAGCAGGCCGCAAACAAAAATTTGTAAATGTTAAAATATCAACGATGTGAATTTAATAATAAGACCCTGTTCAATTCACCTTAAAAAAATAATATTCAGTAAAAATATTTTAGTTCAATAAAAAAAAAATTAACAAAAATAAGTTCAGTTAAGCAAAAATCAGTAATTCTGAAGAAAAATATAATAGAGAGACAGTAAAATTAATTTAAATTCATTAAAAATAATTTCAATTTAGCAAAATAAGATGAAGTAAACGAGGCCTAGCTAAGTGTTATTGACAACATTTTTCGAAAAAAATAAGTAAATACTTCGTAGTTGTTTACATCAAAATCATAAAATCGCTATCACCTATCCTTGTTTATTATCTCTCCTCTCAATGGCTCTCATTGATGTTTAGTGTCACTTCAAACCCTATCCCCGAATTACACCACATGTCTTACCATCTTAACTACCAATAATTTATGCTCAATTGTAGAATACAAAATTGCATCTAAATTCAAAAACAAAAAACAAAAAAAAACACGTATTATTCTTTATATTCTCTTCAATATTCTACATTCCAAATTATTAATACTTCAAACACTTTATTATTTAAAAAAAAAAAAATTACTCAAAGTAACATTTCGGGGCAACGCCTGGGTGACACACTAGTTTACTTTAATAAGACATACAAAACAATGGGAGATTAAAAGAGTACAAATATTAGTTCAAAACTACTAATAATTTGTTTGAACTAATATGAGTATTAAGTAATCGACAAACATACAATGATGCTATAAATCCTATAATAATGAATACATTAAAGAGTTTATATGTTTTTATTTATTTTTTTGTACTCTATATGTTTAGAAATAACTATTCATGCCATGCCTTAGTTGCATCGCATGGCATGGCATGGCATGGCATGGCATGGCATGAGCCAACAGCATGGCACAGCACCATCCCTTTGCCAAGGTTTGTGAACAGGTTCCGATGGTTCAGGTATAGGTACTTGATTCCGAAGAGAATCCTGAAGGAAAGGAAGACCTAGTAAGTAGTAACCATTATGCAAGGTTCAAAAGCTGAGGCTGATATACGTAAAGTACAAAACATATTTACGGTGTATTTGGATTGAAGAAAATGGAGGGAAAGGAAGAGAAGAGAAATGTAGAGATGGGGTATCTTTCATTTGGATAACAAATGAGCAAGGAAGGAAATTGGAGGAAAAAGAAATGGAAGGATTAAATTGTAGGAAATTGATCCCTCCAACAATGGAGAGTTGTATTACCATGAACTCATTAACATGTCTTGCCATATAACAAACTCAAATGTCAAATTATATTCGTGTTATGTCTTTTTTTGACACATTTTTCGTGTTTAATTTGATAGTGGTTGTAGAATTCATATATTTACCTATAGAGTTTCAATTGTGGAAAAACAAAGGATGAACATTTACGCTTTGGTTGGATAGCAAAGAATGAAGGAAAAGAAGGGGAGGGAAAATGGAGGAAGGGAAGGGAAAAGAAAGGGAGGGGGAGGTGAGCTCCATTTTCCTTCTAAATCTCTCCAATTTTGGAGAGATTATGGTTATTATAGAGAAAGGGAAAATGGATCCCTCCCTCTCCTTCCCCCAATCTTTTACCCAAACAAGAGATTTTGTCCTCCTCCATTTCTTTTCTCTTCTTTTCCTTCCATTTCTTCCTATCCAAACAAAGTGTTAAGGCGTTGCTAGAAGTTTACGACTTTAAACACACGCTAACTTGAGAGTTGAGACTCACTTCCACAAGAGCCAGTAAATTCCGATTTTTGTCTTAGTTTTGTTGTCATAAATCTTATGTGCTCTCATTTTCAATTGCATCAAATAAATTCTTCCGGTGAACCCACAATGCACATCGGCGACTACGGGGATAGAACAAAAGAAATCGCCACATTTTGGCTTTCATGTTGCTGTATAGGACAATAGATCCATTCAAATCTGTCAAATCTTTGTTCGTTTAGGAGGCAATTCAAAGAAATGCCTAAGCAGTAGAAGCTAAAAGGCACAGTGTATCTGGTCAGAATACAGAACTAATTATAAAAGGTATAGTAGCCGATCAGCCTGAACCTTCCATCAAAACAGGCAAAAACCCACTACATCAGTAGAAAATGTACAATGCTAAAGAGAAGTATGTCGCCCTCAAGAGCTCCAGTGCATTCAAGATTGAAGCTAATAACATAATGTACCATTACGAGTTTACGACAGCATTATTCGTATTGAAATGCCTGATATGGTCCACATACCAACTGGTACCATTGCTTTCGAATCCTCATGCTAAAATATACCTTCTATAGTTCTGTTCCATCAGAAAGCAATAGGCCCAAAACCTTTTGATACTTTAAACCTGAAGAATTTCTCTGAAATTAAATCTAAGTCTTCATAGCCTTAGAACTTTGGCATCTAAACAGGTTGACATTTTTTAAAGAATTTATGAATTTCTTCATTGCAACTTTAATGCTTTTGGCTTCACTCGTTTGAGAAGTTCCTCTTCAATCCTCGCAATTTGTGACCTGTCATAAAAACAAGTCCACCAAATTTGTGAAATTACTTGTTACATGGAAAGAGCTTTATTCAGGATCCAACATACCACGAAAACACTGGAAAACTGCCTATAATAAAAAAACATGGATAATAGAAACAAACTTCCAAACCTAACGTACGGAGTACTCAAGTCCTTGATTGTGACGTATCACATTCCAATGCTCTCTCTCAACTCCTTGATACCACTGTTTGATCAAACCCACTTCGGATGAATATAAGCACCAGCGGTTAATATTTTCAGATACAGGATGTTTCTCTGCATTGCTCAACATCAGCAGTCTTAAAGTGACCTTGGTGCCTGTACTAATATACTACGGTTTCCTATACATATTCCGCCTGTAGACAATATCCACATTATCCTCGAAACAAATTCAGAGAAGGGCTGTCTCTGATAGGAGGTACGAACCAGAGAAAATCAAAGGCCTGCCTTTAAAACAGCAAAAAAAAAAAATCCAATCTTCGGGTTTAACTGGCGAGTCGAGCTGATGAAGAACCCGATGGGCCGATGGTACAGAACAAGCAACCACAGAACTACATGACATATAGCAAAGGTAATAAATGAGGCAAAGTAGATGAAACAGAGAAATCCATTTTTATTATTGACATCCGTTTTCTGAAAAGTGAAGAAACAGAGAAAACACTCAGTGAATCACAAATTCACAGCAAATAAATCTGTTAGCTAACCTAGCAAACTCAAATACCAACTATTAATTTCTTGCTAAACTTTGAAAAGCATACATTTCCCTCAATACACTAAATAATTCTAGGACAGAAAATATGCACAACCAACCAACAAACACATAATCCAAACTGATTTCTTGACAACAGAAAGCACTTGTGCAATTGTGTACACCTTCATCAACCTTTGTTTAGGCAGGAATTTAGAACAAAACATTACAGAAGGTGCAACCAAAGTTTTTAATAGAAAAATAATACCTAATCAGCCAACTAGGACTATGCACAAGAATTACCAGAGTACAGAAGCTACATACCTGTATTAGTAAAACTTAAAGCTGGCGAGGTTTTCCGAAACCTGTTACTAACCTCAACTAGAAGTGCTATTCAGCTCATTGAGCAGGTGAGCAGCTTATAGATGATTGGTTGGCTGGGAATCCTGTATTGCTACCCTTTTTTACTTTCACACACCTCTTCAATGCTCAAAACTAACAATACAACAGACAATATCAGATGCAATTAGGATTTAGCTTTTCGCCATCAGATGTTGCAAAGTTCCAGATATTAGACAAACCAAAGGGTAAATAACAAAGAACAGAGCACTCACCTTTATTCCACACTGATCTCAGACAACAAAGTGTATAAATGATGTTATTCTCCACAAGACAGCCTATTAGCCTTTGAGTTCACAGCAATGTACATTCCTTCAAGCATTTAAGCAGAGGGATACCTTGCCAAAAAGATGATAAAAGTGATAGCTTTGCAAACTTCAGCAGACAGGCAACATGCAAGACCCCAAGTTCTGTGTGGAACTTTTGACAGCCAGGTATACAGTCATAAGCTCAAAGTATGGATAAATGCACTGCCCAAAACACCAACTGTGATTTTCTCAGTATTGCATATTTGTGCCAGATAGCAACATGCCTTAAGCCATGAAAGAAAATAAGTCCTGTAATGGCTAAAATCCAACTGATAACAGCAAACCATAAAGCCCTATAAAGGCTGTCACTGCCCTATTTCAACTCATTAACGCCTACGCTTAACATCACCTGGCAATGAAAATAATAACAAAAGGCACTATATAGCATTTCTAAACAACTGATCAATGTATAATATCTCTGAAGAGAACACGTGTGATGGACTTCTTGCTAAGTATGTTTTTGCCAAGCCCCTCAGTCATCTTTCACAGCAGTAAATTCAAAGGTAAGTAAAAAAAAATCAGAAATCAGGAAAATGTAAATCAAGATGAGCCCCCAAAAATTTCATTGATTCAACCCTAGAGCAATAACGTCAAGAGTTACATGTGCAGGAAATGCCAAAGATAAAGATCGCATTCAATGAGAAAATGGTATCTGGATTCAAAAAAAATTCCTAGACCCACCTAAATTTTTGTCAAGGGCCAATGTAGACTAATAAAAAGCACCCCAACAAAAATTTGCAGGCATTATCTATCCTGTTGGGGTAACATCAAGAAGATTTAAAAAAAAAGAGAGACTAAATAATTTCCAGTGATCTTTCGATACCAAACGAAGACCAAAACCACAGGTCAAAGCTATGAAGGAACAACTCCCTTTGTAGCATCATCACCACCACAATTCTGCACACCAACCGATAGTGGGTTGTCATCAAGTTTATCCTCTTGTCCACACACAACTGGCTCTTCATCTTCCCTGAAGCTTGTGGATAAGCTTCCAATTCGTCCATCACAATCCCTTGTAACCCTGCTACCAAACTCTGGAGTATCCTGGAAAGTTTCGTCATGATCCAACCTCTTTTCTGGATCCTCGTTATCAGTGCGCCTCATGATATTAGGCTGACCATAGTGTTTTCGTCTGTCTTGGTAGTTCTCATATCGACATCCTCTATTGGATCCATTGGTGTCGGAAAATCTTCCAGCATAATTGGGTCGATATTGTTCCTCACACTTGGAATTATGTGATGAATCCATGACATCAACCCCAAATTGCTTTGAATTAGGATTAAATTTTCCATCTCTTTCATATATGACAGAATGATTTTCCCCTCTAAACCTCCTAGGACCATCGCCAATGCGGCTATCTATACCCCTTAACCCTCTGTCCTGCAAACTTGAAACATCTCTATCCCGAAAACCATTAGTCATGGAGAAACTATCATTAATATCCTGATGCATTTTATTTGCCATGCCATCATCAAAGTTACGCCTCGCAGGACGAAGGAGATTATATTGTTTCCTTCTTTCTCCAAAATTCTCCTCATATCTAACTCCTCTACCAGCATCATCGGGAATCCTATCTGAAGTTCTATAATACCCATCAGGCTTCAGATTTCGTGGGGAATCTATTGCGGTACCTCTGTCATCCCTCAAGCGAATTCTCCCTGGTGATCTATCTGGAGCAGAGTTCCGCTGCTTGTAACCTAGCTCCCTAAAACTACCTGGCTCATCCTTCCGAGCAGAACTCCATCGGTTACGCGGAGGAGATCCATGGTTTCTTGAAATTGACCTAAAACCACCAGCATGGTCAGGCCCGGAGCCAGGTTGTTGCTGTGGTGACCTTAGTCTTTGCATTCTGGCCTCAGGCCTAAAATTTGGAGATCTACTTCGGTGCCTAAAGAAGGTATTACCGCTATTTCCAGCCCCTAGCCTTCTCCATGGAGAATTCCAAATGACAGGAGACCGACTTCTTGATCGAGATGGAGACTTCCTGCGAGAGTGATGTATATTTGACTGCCCTCTACCACCAAATGGAGAAATACTTCTCTCTCTGCGGGACAAAGGACGCCGGTATTTTAAGGAGGATTGGAACGATTCATCTGGAGAAGGCCCACTAAACCTTCCCCTGCCTCCTCTGCTTTCAGAAAAAGGGCCATACCTGAAGGATCTTCCCCGACCAAAGTCTCCAGCTCTATCAGGGCTAAACTTCCTATCAGTATTATAACGCGAGTGAAATCCAGCACAAGGCTCTCTATCAGCACCAGCTCGACTTTTGGGAAGTTGTTGAGAATATGATGCGTCATCTTGAGTGCCAACACATGCATGGTCATCTCTCTCCACACTAGCATCAACATCGAGTTTTGAATGTCCATGGATAATAGGTGAGTAACGCCTGAAACTTCTACGATTGTCTGATGAACCATCCCACCTACCACCTTGGCGTCCTCTACCTTGACTGTGAAATGAATACCGCGGCCTCTCAAACGATCTCATGGAGCCAAGCTCAAATCTATCAAAAAGACATCAACATATTAGATCCAAGAAAGCTAGAAGAAATCACCTAACACGAGGAAATATAAGGAGTACAGCAAAGGGAAACAAAAGGGGAAAGGGTAGGAGGGAAGAACAAGAAGTCATTGTAAAGCGCACATATAACCAACATAACACAGATACCTATTCTCCATTTTCTTGAAACGCTCCTCCCTATATGCATGATCACGAGAAATTGGGCCTTCAATCTGTGACTGCAAGCCCCTTCTGAATGCTTTTGGTTCCACTCTAGTTTCATCATCTTGGGGATCTAGCGGTCCATCAATATGACCAGGCATTCTATTCTTTCTCCTGATATCATCTATGCCTTGATTTCCCATATCTGAAAAGCTCTTGCTACTCTCAAGCAGTTCCTTTTGCTGAATTATTTCTGTTTTCCCTCCAGCATGACTCGATTTCATTTGGTTACCTTCATCATGTTCCCTATCATTCACAACTGCTTCAGAAGCTACTTCAAAAACCTCTTTATCATTTTTACAATCATGAAAAGCGACAGCAGCAGCAGTTCCCAGCCTCCCGCTCTTTCTATCTTCATCTTGTACAGACTCGGAGACGTGGTCCTCACTTGAATTGGCCATATGCGTTTCTCTGTAGTTCGAAATATAGTCTATATTTTCAGCTTCTCTATCACCAGCATCATATTCTTCCCAAGCATGTTCACTTGACTCTCTAAGCTCCCCATCTTCATATTGGGAATCATAACCCTCCTGGAGCTCACCATTAGCATCAGTGCCAACCGTCAAAACTGGATAACATTGAACACCAACATCATTACTTTGTTTAAGAGAATCTTCATAATCAGTATTGTCAGAATAATTAGAACAATTATCCAAGTTAATTTTGCAAGTCTCGTGGATGGAGAAATCACATGAATCCATTAGTGTTACCGAGCAATTTTCAGAGGGATTCTTTATGGTTTCATTATTACTAACTATGCTTCCATCCTGAATATAATTAAAATCCTGCAACTTAGTATCTAAAGCTATCGGAAGCTCACATCTTTTAGGCACAGAGTTGGATGCCTCAGTGTGAACAGGGGCATTATCATCTGATACAGCAACTTCAGCATGCTCTTGATGCTCTACAGTTTTCAGGTCAGCATTCTCTATTGAAGATTTTTCTTCGTGATGAAAATTCTCAGGTGTCTCCAAATCCTCTGGAACTGTGACATTTTGTTTAACCTTTGAGCTTGATGACACACACAAACTAATATAACTATCGGCAGACACAGCACCAAATGTAGCATCTGAAGCACAAGCATTTCCAAAATTCTGCAACTGACAAGAAGACACACCACCATCTGTTTTTAACCCCTCAATTACTGGCTCATATCTTACACTATTATCATTCAAATCAGGACTCTTCACAGAAGAGTCATCAACCTCATTTACAGTATAAGAAGCTGACAATTGAGCAGTCTGATCAGGGGCAGCAGCAACTAATCCAACAGTAGGATCAATATTTTCATCATGGTGCATGCTTTTAGAGTCTTCAACCATACACTTCACAACATCCAAGTTAAGATTGGAGTTGGTTGAAAGAGGCTTCTCACCTACGCATAGAGGCTGCTTCAGATTGAGGCAAGAATCTATATCATAATTGTCCTTGATATCAACTGAACTTTGATTTGCCGGTGATCTCTGTTCACCAGGGACTAGGCAGCTTTTAGCAGCATGCATAGTTTCCAAATTTTCTCGTGAATCATGGGCTTTTATTTCCATATTGTCATTATGGTCGACTTTTCCAGCATCTTGAGAAATGTCAGGAGCAACAACATTCTGAACTCCTGGATCATCAAAAGGCTGTTCCCAAGCATCCATCACAACATTCAAGTCCCAATGCAACCTAACATCTCGGGAAGATTGTCTCTGGTCTTTCCCTTCATCTTCATCTTTGCTGCATGAAACATCCGCAGAAAAGCCCAAGGAAACATCCTTCATTTTTCCAACAGCAACAACATTTTGAGATGAATTTACAGTGTTTGAGATAGATGCAAGCTCTACAACTGGCTCTATGGATATACAGGATGATGTTGCTCCACTTGACATTTCAGACGAATTAATAATGTCTTCCTTTGATAAACCCTTAGGTAATGAAGGTGCTTCAGCATAAGTAGAAACTTCCCGCGCTCGCTCCAGCACAGAAGACTCTTCAATGCCTGAACCATCCTCCGCATAACCACAATCTCTTCCCAAACTGCTACTGCAGGCAGCAGCTGCAAGTATTGATATACCAGAGAAGTCTTCATCTTCACCGAAGCTTTTGTTAGAATTGCAAGTTTTCTTAGCATCAATGCGATTTTTATTCTCAACAATCTGGCTCGAACTAATGTCAGACATTGAAGATTGCAAAGGTAAAAGTTTGATTGAAACATCTTGACTTCTCGTTTGATCTGCAATCTCCTCCGCACATGGAGAGTTGTAAACTGGCGGTGGTGACGGGGACCTTAACAAGAATCTTCTCTTTTTGATAGGTACGTGCTCTGCCTTGTTACTAAAGCGACAGCCTGATGCTAGTACTCCACGCTGCCAAATAGAAGATAACAGGAGATTTAGGGAGGAGTTTTCAAATATTTTCTAAGGTTTTATAAATCATTAATATTAACTCTGGAAAACAAATCTCAACATACCTTTTCAGTCTCCGATACAGGCATTTTGAAACACTGAACTTGCTGGGGAAAATAAAGTATAATACTTTATGATTTTAGATACTGTCTTTCTGGCAAGTCTTGATGCACTCCGACTACTTTCTATAACCTTCAGACAAAATTAATTAGACTATGAGCGTATATACAAAGACTAAACTACTTCATTGACAAAGACATCTATGCAACCTGTTTAGACAATGGTCTTGGTCCAAACAGCACGAGAAAATTTCCGATATATACCCCCCCCCAAAAAAAAAATAAAAAAATGACTGCTTTAAAATATCAAAATGATGCTAGGTACATGACAAAAATGTTTTAGGTGACGTTCAGAAATCCAAGCAAGAAAAAACACAAAACATGTACACCCAAATGCATATTAATCTATTTTATTAGATAGAAAGTTATTACACCAAGCAGATTAATCATTCACCGTCACAGGAAAACACACACCGAGCACGAGGATATTTGGGCATCATCACCAGTATATCTTAAGGATGAGGGAACATGGCCACACTTAGCACTAACAAAGACATAATTGATGCCATAAAACACTCCTCAAACAGAGGAAAGAGTGAAAAAGATCATAATTCTCTTACTACAGCTTTCAAGCAGCAAAGAAGTATAGAAACATGGTTCTCTGATATAACAAAGATCCACCAGAAACTCACATGACCGTAATCACAAACATATAATGATACACTTTCTGTAAGAGGACCAGATTTTACGCGGCCTTGTAATTCAAGCCTGGAGGCAGATCAAAGAAGGAAACTATTATGATTTTATCAGACCAAAACAATAAAAGTAAAACATTAATTATCATCCCCTCAGAAAACCTATTGGCGTCTTTCTACATGACCAAACTAACCCAAAAGAGAACACATAGAGGGGAAAACAAAGCACAAATCATTTAAACTTTTACTTCGAATCCAACACATAAGTATAATTTAGGCAGGACCTCGATACTTAATCTCATTTACGATTGGTAATACATCAATGACTAAACCTAATTCCAACAAGGAGTCTTTCAACATTTCAAGGAACCTCAAGCAATTCAATCAAGTACTAATACAAGCACAAGTAACATAGATCATATGCTATCGAGCTATTGACGGCCCCATATGCAAATCAACATTGCTAAAACAAGCACAGACTTCATAACCAAATCATGCTAAATCAAGCACAGTCAGCATAATTAATTGGTTTCGACACCCTTCATAACCAAATCATGCTAAATCAAGCACACTCAGCATAAATTAAATCGTTTCGACATTCCTCATAACAAAATCATGCTAAACTAAGCACAGTCAGCACAGATTAAACTATTTGACGGTCCTCATAACCATACCATGCTAACAAAAACCAAAGGCAGCACAGATTAAATGATTTCGACAATCCTCATAACAAAATCACGCCAAAACAAGCACAAGCAGCATAAATTAAACAGTCTCGACGGTCCTCGTAACGAAACCGTGCTATAACAAGTACATAAACCATAAATCAAATCCATTCGCTCCAGCAAAAATGCACTTTAAAACAACAATAGCAACTCCAGAAAAATAGCAGCTTCAACAATTAATCTCATAATCTCATCTAATAAATCTCCCAATCTGCCAAAAAAAATTAGGGTTATATCTCTTCAAGTTGACCAACATTCATAAATTCCATCAATCATCACACTCGCAAACATACTATACACTCATTTGTTTAGTAACCGCCATCATCCAATAACTTCAACGCAATCAATGAAGAAAGATTTATTCCAACAATCGCAAAAACCCTAACAACAAACCGAAAACAGCAGATTTATCAACTATAATTTTTAAATCAAACGCAACTTACTTTCAATACCTTGAGATTCAATCGATAATATCACTCGATCTTCACCTTAACCACTCGATTCAATAGATCTTCCATAAAAACAAAAAAAAAATTAATTTAATTGTTCCAGAAATTCTTCTGCATCATCATCAACATCGATTAACCAGAAACTTGAGTCCTTCCAATTATCAATAAACAACAGAAAAATCCTCTATTCTCCATTAAAGATGGCGGCAATAAATAGGGTTTTTCTGAGATTCTGCTGCTTCATCGGTGCAAAATTCATCATCATCTCTCCTCAAAAACGCAGGAAAATCGAACCTTCTTTGTATTCTCTCTCTAAAATCAACAACAAAAAATAGCAGAAAAATTGAAGAAAAATATTGAAATAATTCTTAGTTCATCTTCAACCTTGTGCTTCTTTGTGTGTGTGACTGTGTCGTCTTCTTCTGCAGTTTCTCTCTCCTCAAAATCCTCGAGAAGAGTTTTTTTTGCTTTTTTTTTTTTCTTTTTTTTTTTTTCTCTTGGCTGCTTTGGTGGTGGAAGTGAAGGCTACTGCAGCATCACCACGTATTTATTCTTCTGAATTTCTTTTTCTCTCTCCTAAACGAAACCCATTTTTCTTCGTTTATTTTTGTTTCCTGTTTTACCCTTTGTTCTTTATTTGACTTTTATGCTCTATTTTAGATCTAGGGTTCAGATTTTGGATTGAGAAATATTGAGGTGTAATATGGATATTCAATTATTGGGCTTTATAATTGTGCTCGTACTTACTACGAGTATGAATTCACTATATGGTTGGTACTTGGGGCGTGTTCGGCGCTAGTGTTTGAGTAGCTTTTAGTGTATGTTCGGTAAAATATAGCTGTGAAGGTAGATGTAGGTGTGGAGATAGTTGTGAGCCGTGTATGTAGCTATTAGCTGTGAAAAAAGATAATTTAGGTATGATTGTTCGGTAAAGTAGTGGTTGACTAGTTGTTACATTTAAAAATCAATATTTTATTTTTAAAACCATATACTACCTTCGGTCCAAATTACTCGCAACTTTGGAATATTTTATATCTCACAAATAATACCCCAAAGTTGCGAGTAATTTGGACCAGAGGTGTAGTATTAAATTTTCAAAAGCTACCTCTAACTTCAAAAGCTAATAATCCTAGCTTTTAATAAAAGCTACATCCACCACTAAAAGCTACTTAAAAGCTAGCGTCGAACACGCCCTTAGTGGTGGAGGTAGCTTTTATGAAGAGTTAGAAATATTAGCTTTTGAAAGTAGAGGTTGCTGTTGAAAATTAAATATATAGTTTTAAATATAAAATATTAATTTTTATATGTAACAGCTAGTCGATCGCTACTTTACCAAACACCCATACCTAACTTATCTATCTTCACAGCTACAACTTGTTGACAGCTAAAGGGCATGTTCGGCAAAATGTAGCTGTGAAGGTAGCTGTAGCTGTGGAGATAGCTGTGAGCTGTAGAGATAGATGTTAGCTGTCAACAAGTTGTTAGCTGTGAAAAAAGATATTTAGGTATGATTGTTCGGTAAAGTAGTGGTTGACTAGTTGTTACATTTAAGAATCAATATTTTATTTTTAAAACTATATATTAAATTTTCAAAAGCTAGTTCAAAAGGTACCTCTAACTTCAAAAGCTAATAATCCTAGCTTTTAATAAAAGCTACCTCCACCACTAAAAGCTACTTGAACCATTACTTTGCCAAACACTTACATTTTTTGTTGAGTAGTGGTTTGACTTGGTCAAACCACTAAAAACTACCTAAAAGCTACTCAAAAGCTAGCGCCGAACACGCCCAAAAGCTACCATCACAGCTAACAGCTACATTCACAGCTATATTTTACCGAAGACGCCCTCGGTACTCCATAATATTCTATTGTGAATCCCTCCATCCTTTTACAAAGTATTATATGTCTATTTTTCATTTGTACGGAATTTTTAAAATTTAAAAATTTCTTTAAATTAATAAGGCAAAAGCTAACGAACAAGCTAACTAAAAGTAAAAAGATTAAATTGTTTTTAAAAAAAAAGTAAAAAGATTAAATTAAAATGGACATTAATTACGCCGATCGACGCGTGATTTTGTCATACTTTCCCAAATTTATACCACTTTTAGTAGTATTTTAAATGTTTATCCAACGCCCCGGGGGCGTTCATTAACAAGATCCAATTAATAATTAAGAGTACAAATATGCATATTGGGTTTGAGAGAGATAGAGAGCAAGAAAAAAAATGATTGAGAATTAGGAGAGAGAAAATATTGAGAATTGATGTCAAAGTATAAAAAAAAGAAAAAGAAATAGGATACAAATCATCAAAAGGAGAATACAGTACAATTTATAAATAGAAATAGGTAATTAATTTTGATGACCCAAAAAAGAAATACAGACATGTAATAAAAGGACGGAGTGAGTAAGTTTTTGTTATTAAGCTTATGACTATGACTTTGATACTTTAAAAATCTTAAAGTATTATCGATTTGAATTCAACAATTCGATGAGTGTTATTGTTTCAACATTTTAGAAAATAAAACTAGCTTAAGTCCCGTTGCAATGCTCGTTTTACTTAACCTAATTATGAATAACAATTTAATTTAACACAATATGGAAAAAAAAAATCCTTTGTTTCAATTGAAACAAAATAACTTGAATTTATAAAAACAATATGAAAAAAAAAGAATATTATATGTATATTAATGTCAAAAGTTATGTATGTATCATTATTAAACGTTTATTTAAAATGTAAGAAATTTAATGATTATAGGTTTTTTTGTAATGAAAAATTATGTTAATTACCCGTGCAATTATCCGTCCCTATTTTGTTATAGATTTTTTTTTATTACAGTAATAATTAGAATTATTATTGGTCATTGTGTTACGTTGGCATATATGCTAATATAGACGCTAATGAAAAGAGTTTAAAGTTCAAACAAAATATGGAGTTTGGACACTAGTACATGTATCATCACTAAAATTTTATGTTAAATGTAATACAAATGTCATGGTACATATGATTTAGTAAAATCGCGTAATACATATAGTAAATGAAAAGACGGTCTCACTCTACATAGTTACACCACATACAATTTTACATGATCACCAACGAACGTTGTGTCAACCCTCATTGCACCAAAACCTCATAATTTCATTGTGTTCAACTCTTCATCACTTATCCTCATTTATTGTCTCCTGTCGTTGGTGTCATTGACTCAGTGTCACTTCCAACCCTATCCCCTCAACCTCGATCTCTAGCCACCTTATCAAGATCTTACCTTTCACCTTCTCTCCTCTTAATAAAGGAATAATGACATTATTTTCTTGATTATTTCTTCTTGTCAGCTCATCAAAAATTTATCTTGCATCAAGTGCTTGAAATTTGGTTAAATACATTAGATTATTAATTTTTTTTTTAGAGAACCACTAAAGTGGATGATGAAAATTAATTCAATATTCCCTTAAAATCTATAGTGAAGTTCTAACCAACTTAACTATCCCTCACTTTCATGGTAAGGACTCCTCGTGTACTTAATAATTTGAATATTATCTATCATTTCAAAAATCTTTAGCACTTTGATCATATTCTCTTCCTCTTCAATAATAATATTAAATAATAATAATAATATTTAAGTGAAGTAGAAAGTAATTTAAGTTCATCCAAAATAAGTTAAATAAAGCTAGCTAGTGATGATGGAGTATAAAACATATTTTTGGGTCTCAACCATAAGCTTAAGATTTTGGTTGAGTTGGTCCTTTAACATGCTATCGAAGATAGCGTGATACAAAGGTCACGGGTTCAAATCTCATCCACCCCCACTTTCCGAAGAGTTCTTTCAGCTTGGCCTTATATCAAAAAATTAGTAGTTGACATACTGACAGTTAACTTAAATAAGGAAAAAAAAATGTAAATAGACTATGTATTTGTTAAGGGTATAAATATTTGCATACTATCCATAACGACCATAAGTGACCTTAATTAAAATGAGACAGCTAACATCAATGTCATTAATAAATAAACAAACATTTTAAAAGTATAAATGTTCACGCACTATTTATAAGAGTTTGTTTAAACTTTTAAAATGGTATAGGTAGATATATGAGGTGAATGGAATAACTATTAGAGTATATATTTAATAAAATTTTATAATTATTTTTGTTAAAACTAAATAAATTGTCTTTGGAAAAAAAAGTGTCAAAGCATGAGATCCCTTGGCCATATGGCAACCACAATATTAAACTCCCAATCCCTTGGCTATATTTACTGAAATGATCTATTTTGCTTAAATCACACCAATAAGTTCAATTTTTTGCTTGTATTACACCAATAAGAAATCAATTAGAAAAAAGTTCAAATTGCTGCAAGTAGTACTGATAGTTTATTAGTCAATGTAGTAAGCAACTAAGCATATCTCGTTTTCCAAAGTAGTCTTACATGGTTTTGTTTTATACATATGGACGAAATCTGTGCGGTCGTCTCACCTAGGTGTGCGGTACATATTTACCATATCCTGATTTAGTGGTTAGCTGCTCCATGAGACCACCACATGGACCACAGTTGTCACCATTTTCACCATGATTTACGATTACTATTTTACTACTAGTACTTTACTATGTTCGAGTATATGTATCTTGGGCTTGCAAGGCCCAAACTACGGCCGAGCTCACTAGTCACTAATTACGTGTCATGTTAAAAGTCACTAATAATCCATTAATATTTTTACTATCGTGACGAATTTACTAAAAATGCATCATCAATTGTATCATTCGGCTAAAATTTATGGTTTTCAACATGTTCTAAATAGCCGTCGAGACTCAAGATTGTATGTAGAATATGTCTCGATAACGTAATTAAGAATCATATCCTATCAAGTGATGATAAGATCCTATGCTGATACGATGATAGTATTTAAAGTTTCAGGCAATATATATTTTTATAGACTAATAACTCGGGATTTTACATAAACTTTGACGACTAGTTTGATAGTTAGTAGTACCATATATAGCGGTAATGGTAACATTATTTTGTAAGTAAGTTTGTAAAGAAAAACGCAATTTAAAAGGTAACTAGTTTTTAGGCCCGCGTAATGTCCTGGTTACTGCATTATTTCTATAATAAAAAAATTTTATTAATATTTGTTTTTTTATTAAATGTCATGTAATATCTTGTAAAAAAAAAACATGTCATGTAACATGGTAATAGCTTAGTGACTAACACCTTATAGGCTTATAGTTTAAACTAAGGGTCGTGGGATCAAATCTTATAAGAACTATATTTTTAAACATTGGAATGAAAATCGGATTCAAATGAGAGAGTTGCCACATGGCTTAAACATATGGGGTTAGAAAATAAGCAAAGTGACACGTGACTCCTAAGTCCTAAACTTGTTGAGTAACGATTCTAGTCACTTCTCAAACTTTTATTACGGAGTGATTATGAAAATTGATGAGATTAAACACATGTTTGGAGGTAGAGTTCTATTGAAATTAGTAATGAAAACATGAAATCCTAGCAAAATGACATACAAATCCATTACTACTTCCACAATTAATTACCGGTTACCGTACTTGTCGAGTATCGTCAATAAGCAAGAGACTATAAGAGAGAGCCATAAACAAAATGTGTACATGAAATTCGACCTCAAATCTTGGTTATAGTTTTGGCTATCTCTAAAATTTTAACCAAATAAGCCTTGTTAGCATATCATACATACATTCAATAGTTCATATGATTTGATTAAAGT